GTTCTATATCTTAGCTATGGTAAATAATGCTGCAATAAACATAGTTGTGCTGGTAGCTTTAGTGTGGTCTTGTTTGTAAACATTTGGGTAAATGCCCAAAAGTGGGATTGCTGGGTCATAGGGGAGCTCTATGTGGAGTCTTTTGAGAAACCTCCATACTGCTTTCCAAAGTGGTTGAACAAGTTTACATTCCCACCAACAATGCAATAGGGTTCCCTTCTGTCCACATCCCCTCCAGCATCTGTTGTTATTAGTGTTCTTGATTATAGCCATTCTAACTGGGGTGAGGTGGTATCTCAATGTTGTTTTGATTTGCATTTCTTTTATGGCTAGGGAGGTTGAGCATTTCTTCATGTGTCTATTGACCATCCTTCTTTCCTCTTCAGAGAAGTTTCTCTTTAAGTCTTTAGCCCACTTATTTATTGGGCAGTTGTTTCTTTGAAGATTTGTTGTTGGGGGATTTAATTTTTTGAGTTCCAGGTATATTTTAGATATGAGACCCTTGTCTGTTGTAAGGCTAGTGAAGATCTTCTCCCAATCCGTGGGCTTTCTATTGATCTTGCTAGCTATGTCCTTTGCCAGGCAGAAGCTCTGCAATTTCATGCAGTCCCATTTGTCCAACATTTCTTTGATTTGTTGTGATGTCGGCCTGTGCCAAGGAGTCCTAGGGTTTCTCCTATTCCATCCTGTAATTTTTTCAGGGTGTCTGATTTGACTCCGAGGTCTTTGATCCATTTGGAGTTGATTCTGGTGCAGGCTCACCCACTTTTTTAAAGTCAGTTTTATCCCAACATCATCTTGACCCTTCACTTACACATTGTCTGTGTCTGGTTATGTACTACAGGGTAGAACAGAGTTGAGATAAAGTCCAAATGACTTCTCAAAGGTAAAGTATTTAATATCTGTCCTGTATAGGGAAAGTTTGCTAACCCCAATTCTAGATGGTAAGTAAGGAATAGCTTACCAAAATAGATATGGAGTAAATCAAGTAATAATAGAATAGATATGTAGTAAATCAAGAGATAATAGAATTTCAAAAGAGTGGGTGGAAATTTAGGGCACCTATTCAGGACATGAGGTAAAGTCAATGCAATTCCATATAACCAATTTTTAGGTGGATCCAACCCTAGGAAAACAATACTCAAAAGATAATTTTTTGTTGCTTGCTTCTTTCCTTCTTTTAAAGCCCTCTCTTCAAAAATATTAGTTAGCCTGTAATACTAAGCAGGTACTCTTAGAAGACATCTAAAGACACTTAACACATAAAAAATATACATAATAAAAATCATAATAAAATAGTACTAGAAATGTAAGAATTATGTATATGAAGATTTGGAATGCTACATGAAATTATTTTGCCATAAGACAACACATTTCCATAATGTGAAGGCACACTATGAAAAATGTGAGATTATAGTATAATGCAAACAGTAAAAGCAAACATTTACTATCTTTGTGACCTTGGTTTAAGTTACTTAATTCCTCTCAATTTTACTTTATTCATTTCTAAAAGTGGGATAATTGACATAGATAGAGCATTTTGAATATAAAATAAAATGTAAAGCAGCTTATGTGATGTTTGGCATATATTAAGTACTTTGGTAGATAGTAGCTTCACTTTTTAGGGAGCAGATATGAATATCAATTTCTAAATTCAGATTGCAAGAATTGTCAAAGTAACTTATTGTATTCATGTCAACTTTATGAGGGTGCTGAGACCTATCTTATTTGGCATTTAACCCTAGATATTCTTAGGGCTTCCATTCGTCCCCAGAGAGGCTTTAGTGAGCCTCAGTTATATGATCTCCCTAAAGGGCTAAGATCCTCTCTTCATGGTTTCTCAGAGTACAGCAGTCCCCTTGGCTGAAACCTTTGATGTGGTTAAGGATCTAATTTCCCTAGGTGCCTCCCTTACCCAGGTAAGCCTTCCTAAGCAACCCAGACAACCAAGGCAGGTGCTTTCATCTTCTAGACCCAGAGGTTTCTGTCCTGTCTCAGAGCATCTCTTCTCTCTGACTCATCCAAATTCTTTTGTCTGCCCTCTGGATGGGACACATACTTCCCCATGGTAGTCAATGTTTTACCTTTGGAGGCCTATAGCTACTTTATGACATTAAAGCTAATAACTATTCAATAGAGTTGGCTTTTCTTTCTTGTTTCTCCACTTCAGTCTACAAAGACAACTAACTTCACAAATTTGATGTTTTCAAAAAGTGGAAATCTCTGAAGGAAACAAATAGAATAGTCTGGGACAAAGGAGAGAGAGAGAAAAATTATTAAAACTGTATAGAAATATCTTCCATTTATTCTTCCATTTATTCATCCCCTCCCCCTGCGCATTGTTACTTGTTTTTACTCACATATTGTTGATCATCTAGCTCTACTTCCCTCCGTGCTCAACAGTCACATAATGGAGTGCCTTTTTCTCTTCATTACATCAACTCTTCTTCCTATCTCACTTCATCATAATAATAATTTCCTACTTTTTACAGACTTGGCTAAAATATGAACTTCTCTGTGACTTCCTTGTGATTCGTCAAAATAATGCAAACAATCATTCTGCACATTTCTGTGTATCTCATACTTATAGCACTTAGTATTAGGTAGTAACAATATCATCCAATTTGGGCTGCTTCTAAGAAAGATGATAATAGAATTTTATGCCAGAACTGCTGACATAGCCAAGACTCTTCCAAGCTAAGCAGAAGGCAGTTACTTCATCTGTTTGTAACCTTGCTATAGTGATTATTTAGCAGTCTACATACTCTTTCTAGAAAAGCACACACACACACACACACACACACACACACACACACACACACACACGTACAGTCAGTGAGTTCTGGGAAGGTAAAGACTTCAAAATTTTGTCCAATGACAGGTAAATTGTTAGCAGGCAACCAGTAAATCCATTATTGATACTTTAGAGGATATTACGTTAGAGGAGATATTACCATAGGCAACAAAATTAAGACAGAAGAACATATTTTAAAGCAACAGCAAATAAACCATTCTATGTAGAACACATTTTGGGGGTGGAATCAAAATTTTAAACAACAACAACAAAAACAACATTGTGGCAATTCTGGATCATCAATTCAGTAGAGTATTGAGAAGATTTAGACATGGAGATGATATGAGGGATAATTGGCTAGTATAATTTTTTTTAATGAACTTACAGGTAACATGGGGGATTTAATTGTTACATTTTTATATGTGTTTACAATATATTCCAATTAATCTCACCCCCTTTACCATGCTCCTTTTCCCATTTCCCCCTTCCCAAACCAATTTCAACAGGTTTTATTGTTCTATTTTTATAGATGTAAAAACATTTCCTTTGAGGATATTTTTCTTCTTACATCATCCTATTAGCCCAACCTCCTCCCACTAGTACCCAACCACAGAACCTATTTCTCGTTCCCCAGACCTTCCAACTCCCATTAAGTAGTATTTTTCATTGTAGTTCTTTTTTTTTTTCTGGTCATGGGGCTTGAACTCATGGCCTGAGCACTGTCCCTGAGCAATTTTGCTCAAGGCTAGCACTCTACCACTTTGAGACACAGCACCACTTCGTATTTTTGACTGGTTAATTGGAGATAAGAGTCTCATGGGGAACGTATCCGTCCAGTCTGGCTTTGAACTATGATCCTTGGATCTCAGACTCCTAAGAGCTAGGATTATAGCTGTGAGCCACCAGCACCTATCTCATTGAGGTTCTTCATGCTGCTTTTGTAAATCATTGAAATTTATTTCAAAATTGTTATTCTCTTTCCCCTCCTTCTCCTGGGTAATTAATTATTATATGTAACATGAATTAGAGAAACGGAAAGTATATCTTCAGATTGTTTAGATTTAAAAAATGAAATTGTGGGTGCCTGACTTACTTAAAAATATATTTGCCATTTAATTCTTGATTTAAGGAAAACATTAGGATCCTTTTGAAGGTAAGTGACAGAAATCTAAATTAACTTGATTTATCCAAATAAGTTCAGCTAACATATATCTATAGGCAGTTCTGAACCCACATTTTCCAATAATGCTATCTCTTCAAGGATCCTCTTTTCATCTTTTGAACTTGATTTTTCCTGCAGCACATTCATTCTTAGGCAAGATTTTTTTCAGAGTGGCTATAACAACAGCTTCCAGTTTAGCTATGTACATATGATTATATAATAATCATTTATGAAATGAATTCCAAGAAAACAAAATGAGATAGTTTCTAGTTGCCATTGTTGCTGTTTTTGTTTTCTTTTCCTTTTGTCTTGTTAGTTAGATTGTATTTGGGAGGGTAAGGAGGTCACAGAAAACGTGGAACATAGGGTAAACAAATACAATAGTAGTAGACACTATGTGGAAAATGAACTGTATTTGTGGGAGGGTACAGGAAGAAAAAAGTAGGAGAGAGCAAGGGAAGGGTTCAAAAATAATTGTAATTACTTGATTCATGTAACTGTAACCCCACTGTATATTAACTCTACAATAATAATAAAAATTCCAATAAAAGACAAAAAATAGCCCTTATTATATGGTCTTGCTTATATAGTTTTATTGACAAATCAATGGGAAAAAAAATCTTCATTGTGAAATAACAGTGTCAATGAGTTTGAGAAATGTCCATAAATTTATTTTACAGAATTGTCATATTCATAAAATGTTATAAATATATACTACTCCTTGATACAATTTTTAAAATAATTCCTAGAGTGAATGTGAATAACATTTAAGTGAGAACCAGTTCTTAAATTTTTTTCTTAAGAGAAAGAACAATTCTGAATACAGGAAGCTAGCATTGCCCTTGGTGGCTATTTGTTTTTGTCAATAAATATCCATGAGTATCCCAGACATAATATTAGACTAGATAAACTGAAAGAAAGTAGTATTTGTCTTTTTATCCAAATACTGATCACACACATTTCACAGTGTCAATGATAGGCTAACAGAAGAATTTAATCACATTCACTGATGCTTGCTTTATTATCATCTGTATTCCTTTCAAGAATGCAACTTTCAAGAACAAGCTTCTGAGACAGAAAATAATCTGAACCAAGCACCCAGTGTGGTAGAAGCCACCTTTAAAGTACTATACCACTGCAGTCTTTCTCCACAAACATTTGGAAATGTTTTTGTGACCTACATGGAAGAAGAGCAATTATGGGAGTTTTTGTATAACATTCCAGGTATGAGAAATTTATTAATTATAAAATAAGTACTTTGTAGATACTTAAAATGTCTGAAAGATATTTTTAAAAGTTTTGTTGTTGGTTTGGCTGAATCTCTTATTAGCAAAAGTTTAGCTTCCATCTTTTCATTGTAAAGGCTCCTGTTGGAAACCATTAGCCATTAGATTCTGCTAAACATGATATACTCAAAATAACGTGAGAATGGCATACATTGGAGCAGGAAGTGTTAGAATGCCCATCTTCGAGCCACATACAGATTCTTACAGTTTTGTCTTTAATAGTCTGCTTTTAATTCTCCAAATTTACTACTTTGGGGAAACAAATGATAAGAACTTAGAGATCATTCTCATTATCCTGTTACATATAGATTTTTTTACAAACCAAATTGGAGCCAGCATTTTAACAAAATATTTCCTAGGCTCTGACTGGGAATTATATTTTTATTCATCCTGGACTTCTGACTATCTACCACATATTACTTGAATTTTAGCATCATTATGTTTCATTTTTCTCTAGGTTATTATTACTCCAAAGAAGTAATAGTGAACCTTAGATAAGAGTTTCAGAAATCCACATCTATCACTTAATAATTTTATCCCTCTCCTTCCTACCTACCCAAATGAATGGCAGATTTCTAGGTACAAACATTGACTTACCAAGTTCTTTGCTTCTCATGTCTTTCCTGAGAAAAGAAAAGCAACCTGGCCCAAAGAAACATAGGTCCCATGGTTTCCTTTATTTGCAATAACTAGTATATGTCTGAGACAAGCAGAAAAGTTGATGTTAGGTGAAATGAATCTCAAGATAAATATTCAAATGTTTTTTTCTTTCATGCGATTGTTTCTAACATATTTATAAGATAATTTCTTTGTTGCTTTGTATGTCCCTCTTCCACGGTATAACCCCTGCTTTCACTGGATTTGATGTTGGTATAATGTGGAGGGGAAGGGCAAAAACAAATCGTTTAACTAGGGATACAGGTGGACCCATTGCAACAATGAGATGTACAAGTTGTTATGTCGAAAAACGAACTTTACAACTTTGCGGGGGGAGGGCGGTTCAGAGGGGGGAGGGGCGGTCAGCAGGGGGAAGTGGGCTCTGAGGGAGATGGGAAGGGATGGGAAGGGGAAACAAAGGAGGAGGCAAGGACGCTTGATAAGAAATGTACTCATTAGCTTGCCCATGTAATGGTAACCCCTCTACGTTATTTTCACAATAAAAAAAAAGAAAGAAAGAAAAGCAACCTGGAAATCCCATCTGTTGTTTCTAGTCATTTTGGGGAAAAATTGGATTTTCTCAAAAGATTAACAAAAATCAGTGATTCTCCTTCTTCAATCACAATTTGTCCTTTAAATATTCTATGCCCAAGCCACTTTTGACAGCATAAAACTCTATTGAAAGTGACCTAGAAGAGATCAGTGGTCTTTAGGAGCTGAGAAGAGAGAATAAAATGGCTACTTGATTATAATTTTTCTTCTAATCACCTATATACTGGACAAAAGTCTCCTGTAGCAAGTCCAACAAATATGCAGAAAAAATATATTACACAGATTCACAGAGCCTAAACTGAGTGTAGAAGCTCAAAGGGGTAGAATTTCAGATTGGTTAAACATCTTTGGCTTTTGTACAAAAAAAAAAGTCTCCATAAATAATATTAGATATTCTCTAGATCTGGAATAGTCTCTGGAGCCTGAGATTTGTCCTTGTTAAAGTTTGTACCATTATGCTTTTCCCTTCTGAAAGTTTCAGAAATTTACCTTTCCTTCTGTAGCCACCTCACCCCAGTTAGAATGGCTTTAATCAAGAAATCGAATAAGGACAGATGCTGGAGGGGATGTGGCCAAAAGGGAACCTACTGCACTGTTGGTGGAAATGTAAACTTCTTCAACCACTCTGGAAAGCAGTATGGAGGTTCCTCAAAAGTCTACACATAGAGCTCCCCTATGACCCAGCAATCCCTTTGGGGCATTTACCCAAATGATCACAAACAAGGCCAAACTAAAGCTACCAACACAACTATGTTTATCACAGCATTATTCACCATAGCTAAGATAGGGAACCAACTCAGATGAATAGATGAATGGATCTAGAAAATGTGGAACATACATATATATATATATATATATATATATATATATATATATGTATGTATGTATACACACACACACACATACTGGAATTATATGCTTCCATCAGACAAAATGATACCACCCCATTTGTTAGGAAATGGAAAGACTTGGAAAAAAATTATATTCAATGAAGTAAGCCAAACCCAAAGAAACATAGGTTTCATGGTTTCCCTTATTTGCAATAATTAGTATCCATCTAGGATAATCTTAGCAGATGAACAGAACAGCTTAATAGCTATGTACATATGACCATATAAGATGATGCTAAGTAAAATAAACTCCAAGACATGAACACAAGAGGTTTTTCTCTGTTGTTGCTTTTAATGTACTATGTGATTGTTTTTGTTTCTTTTATATGTTCTTCCCCCTATGGAACATCCCCTGTTGTCACTGTATTTGATTTTGGTATCCTGATTATGTATATATGTTTATTTGAATTAGGGAAGGGGAAGGGGAACAACAGAATGGTGAGACAAAGGACAAGGGGGAACCAATGCAACAGTGGCATACACAAGACAGTATATTGGAAATGATATATACAACTTGGGGCAGGGGTTGGGGAAGGAAAAGTAGGAAAAAATGAGGGAAGGGGTAATAAGTTTGACAAGAAATGTACTTACTACCTTACTTATGTAACTGTAACCCTTCTGTACATCACCTTGACAATAAAATAAATGTACTCAAAAAGAGAATAAAAATTGTTTGATTCCTTATAAAAAAAGAAACAAGCTATTATACCATACTAACTCATAAGAAAATAATACTTGTCTATGATTTCTGTTTCATTTGAGAATATAACATGTTAAAAGACCATATGGCTGAAACGCATACACATAATTCCACAATTTTTACTTTACTATTAATTCAACCATGCTCCAGTAAATACAATTTACCTAGATCAATTTAGTACATTATATTAGATTTCATTAATGTATTTTCTTCCTGCTAAAATAAGTGCCAAAGATCTTAGCCTAGTTTACCTGTAAAAACACACACAAAAAAACCCGGGTCTTATCATTTTAAGGTAGAATGGCAAAAGATGAAATAGAAAGTATTTTCATGGTATTGCTAAGTAAACTGAGGCTGAAGATATTGAAAAACTTACCTAAGAATAGAATCCAAGAAAGAACCCAGATCTTAGGCTGATAACATGGGCCAAATTATGGAGCACCTGTCTAATAAGTGCTAAGCCCTTACTTCAAGCCTCAGATCAAAAAAAGAAGAAAGAAACCGGGCACTGGTGATTCATGCCTGTAATCCTAGCTACTCATGAGGCTGAGATCTAAGGATCATGGTTCAAAGCCAGCCCAGGCAGGAAAGTCCATGAGACTCTTATCTCCAATAAACCACTAGAAAACCAGAAGTGGCACTGTAGTTCAAGTGGTAGAGTGCTCTCCTTGAGCTGAAGAGCTGAGGGACAGCGCCCAGGCTCAGAGTTCAAGCTCCATGACAAAAAGAACAAGGAGGAGGAGGAAGAAGAGGAGGAGGGGTAGGGAGAGGCGGGGAAGAAGACGAAGAAGAAGAAAAGAAGCAGGAGGAGGAGGAGGAGGAAAGAAAAGAAACAATATTTCATAACTTTTAGCCCATGGTATTTCTCTTTGCTTTTTTGCAACTAAACTTTGAGATGCTTGCTTAATGAGCACATAAATAATGAACTATAAAATCATATTTTATAATTATTAATCTTAAAAAAATGAGCCAGATCAAAAAATAAAAGAAACATCCACCATATTAATAAATGGGCTAAAGAATTAAAAAGAGACTTCTCTGAAGGGGAAATAAGAATAGCCAATAGACACATGAAGAAATGATCATAAAAGAAATGCAAATCAAAACTACACTGAGATTCCACCTCACCCTAGTTCGAATGGCCATTATCAAGGAAACAAATAATAACAAATAATATCAGGGATGTGGCCAAAAGGGAATGCTACTACACTATTGATGGGAATGTAAGTTGGTTCAACTGCTCTGGAAAGCAGTATGAGGGTTCTTCATAAAATTAAACATAAGCCACCCTATAACCCAGCTATCCCACTCCTGGATATTTACTCAAAGGATCACACACAAGACCATACTAAAGCTACCAGCACAACTATGCTTATTGCAGCATTATTTACCATAGCTAAGTTATGGAACCAACCCAGATGCCCCTCAGTAGATAACTGGGTCAAGAAAATGTGGTATATATACACAATGGAATTCTATGCTTCCATTAAAAAGAATGACCTCACCCCATTTGTATGGAAATGTAAAGACTTGGAAAAAAAGCCAGACCCAGTTCTTTTCCTCATTTGTAATAATTAGCGTATGTCTAAGATAGTCATAGCAGAGGATTACAATAGTTCAATAGCTATGTACATATGACTATATAAAATGATGCTAATCGAAATGAACTCCAAGATATAGAAACAATAGGTTTGTTGTTGTGTTGAATGTACTGTGTGAATCTATTTCTTTTTTCCTTTGGCTTATCCCCTGATGTCACTGTTTTTGATTTTGGTACTCTCTATCTTGTATATACATTCATCTGATTTGGGAAAAGGAAGAGGAATAACAGAATAGTGAAACAATAGCAATACTCACAAGACACTATGTTGGAAATGAACTTTTCAGCTTGGGGGGAGGTGGGGTAGGTAAGGGAAAGTGGGAGAAAAACAAGAGAAGGGTTAATAATGTTCGATAATAAATGACCATTCTTATTTCTTCTTCAGAGAAGTCTCTTTAAGTCTAGCTCATTTATTAATTGGGTTGTTGTTTTCTTTGAGTATTTGTTTTAGGGAAGTTAATTTTTTTTAACTCTGAGTATATGTTAGATTAGAGGCCCTTGTCTGACGCATAGCTATTAAAGATCTCCCGTTCTATGGG